GTTTGGTGTGGCGGGGATTCGAACCCCCGACCCCCCGATTGCGAGTCGCGCGCCCTAACCACCTGGCCATGCCGGGCCTGTTCGTTTTGAGGGCTAGCCCAAAGAAAATCACACGAAACTCTTTACTGTCAGTATCACATATATATTTTATTATATTTCTAAAAATCGTCAATCGAATACAACGCTTCGATATGCTAAGATAGTAAGGTTACATTTTTATGCATGTCAGATCGGCCTGAAAGTAAAAACGGAATTCTACAGACTCGGTTTTCACATTACCAAGGAGATACTAGCAGAGAGCTTATTGGGTAAATATTAAATTATAGTAAGCTTCTGTACATAAGATACAGGGTACAACTCAAGATCAGATTGTTTGTTTTTAGTATCGCATCCAAACACTTCACTTTATTGGGTTCTATCTTCGTAAACTTAGATCAAATAAATCAAAACCTTTGTGACTAACGAATCAACACAATAATGAGCATTCAAAGTAATCAGTAGATATGTATCATGTAAAGTTTATTTTTTTTAAAACAAGAATGTGTTCTTTTCGAGAGTAAATGGTTAGGAAACGAACAGACTAGGAGGTAATCGAACACTTTCAGTGTACGGTTTGTGTAATCAGAAAACGTAATAATCATGAAGTGGTTTGTTTGTTTCACAGAAAATGTCTCGTTTTACGAAATCTCGAGCAGAAACGGTGGAAAGGTTAGTTAGTTAAATACTATTCAACCGCCTATTCTTTTGGTGTCTGCTAGATAGGACAATTAAAGCAACAGTAGCGCTTCACGTAGTCAAAATATATATACAAGCATTTTCTGAAAAAATTATTTCATTTCTAATGGTAAAATAAAAAAATGGAAATAAAATTTAAAAATGACAAACTTATTAAACATTTTATAAACAATACAACTTGAAAGCATAAAAATGTGAATTTCGAATTTAGGTATATACAAATCAATAATTTGCGCTGAAAAATAATAGATATTGAGAGTTAAATCACTTTTACAAGGCTGTCATCCCGATTAAGCCTACTAAGATAACTGCATGGACCAAACCACACCCAATCCCAAAAGGCTCAATTTAATACAAAATATTGCTTCCTCAGTGGTAAGGTTAAGGGCTTATAGTGCTAAAAGTCGTGGTTCAATATCGCGGTGAGAACAGTGTGTAGTTTTGTGGTCGAAAAAACAAAAAAGTACTGAAACTTGTAATATCAGTTGTATTATCGAGATATCGAGCATTCCTTTTAGTATGCTCCAAACATCTAACAATTATGAAAACTGGCACATATCAGTTAATAGTTAGTTTTACCATCTAGCGAGCCAAGTTTGAGATGTAAAGTCTGTTGCGATACATATAAACCACAAATGAAGCAGATGGAATTTCTCAACATTTTAATCATGATTCTAACATGACAATACCCCCATTACTGCCATGACTCACCGATTATATCCCCTCATTCTGTGGACGACCCTAACGTTCAGTGTTAATTCTCACCCTAAAATCTGATTTTTACATGACGTAAGTATATAAAATAATCACAATTC